AGACTGCAAAGGCTGAAACATCTTGAAGTCTGTATGAAATTGGAGGTAGTTTGAAGATTAATTTTTTTATGCCTTTTAAGCTCAAAAATGGGGGAGGGGAGGGGGTCGTATTATACACGAATAAATACGGTATTTAAAGGTAATTCTGATGGATTTAGAAATTGGAATATTTAAGTAAACAACAGGCTAGCATGAACTAAGATGTTTTACTTTTTGTATTAGTAGTATTGATCACATAATTGCATACAAATTGATYTCTGTTGTGGGTATAAAAAYCAAATATAAACAATTTATTCTGTTATGTTTGGTCACATTTTCAAAGAGYCACTGTAGATGGACCAAAGAGCCACATGTGGCCCCARAGCCGCAGRTTGCAGACCCCTGGTCTAGCGTTTTAGCTTCATGTACTGAACTGTCTGTTCATGTTTAATGCGACTCTGAACCCCACYGTCCCACCCACAAACAGGCGCCGTGTTGCTCTGGAGCCTGAGAGTGAAGGAGTCCAGGCTGAGAGAGAGAAGGAGGCGGCTCTGTAAGTTCCAGAAGATCAGACCATACACGACACCAAATCCACTCATCAAACCAATCCTTATTCTGTTCACTCGTATTCAAAAACACCTGTTTTTACACAGCTAAATGTCTTTTATAAAAAACAGAAAATCCTGTTATTTGTGAAGGAAAAAGAATAAATTCTAAATAAAAGATAAACCCTTTTAAAAATACTACATTTTCAGAATTTTTCCAGCTAAGTTACAACACCTTAAAAATGTCTTTAAATTTCTTGAACATTTTGACATTTTTTCATATTTTACCCAGAATTTAAAAGTATTTTTGAACATTTAATGTGCTAGGTCAACACAAAGTACCACATAAATRTTGAAACAGAAAGAAAATTATCAAAAGTTTTAAAGTTTAAAATCTTATTTTTAATTAAAACAAAAATGTGAAATGTGTGGCATGTAAATGTATTCAACCCATTTACTCTGATATCCTGAACTAAAATCACATCCAGAACTTTTTAACATCGTCCACCTGTGACTAATTTCATCACAGTGTGAATCCAGCTGCTCTGTGAGCCTCAGACTTTTGTTACACAACATGAATGCTCCAAGCATCATGAAGACCGAGGAACACACCAGACAGGTCAAGGATAAAGTTTTTCAAGACACTCTACAGCTGTGGTCCTTCATCCTGGTCCTTAAGGATCACTATCCTGCATGTTTTACGTATCTGTGCCTCTCAATATCTGATGTATTTGAATCAGGTGTGTTGAAGCAAAGAAACATGTAAAACATGCAGGATAGTGGCCCTCGAGGACCAGGACTCTGCCGTACAAAGCTTCGGCTCTTGTTCAGCTCATGTATGGGATGTGTTAGCTGAGGTTAGCTGCCCTGTTAGCTGAGGTGTTGGCTTTGTGTTGCAGATGTTTAGACTTCCTGCTTCAGAGCGGAGCCACGGCCTCACTGAAAGACAAGCAGGGCTACAGTCCTGTTCACTATGCTGCAGCCTTCGGACACAGGCACTGTCTGGAACTGGTCAGTTCCTCACACAACACACACACACACACACACACACACACACACACACACACACACACACACAATACATGAAAAACATGTACTTTTTAATTAAAGTCCTTTATTTTTAACGATTAAGCTAGCATCCAGTGCGGTGGCCCACCTTTGTTTTAGTCTGTGCACTTGAAGAAAGTCTGCCATACGCTCAAGTACCAAAGACTCATTGGTCATTTCATAAAGTGATTAAAATATGAGTTTTTGTGGCCTCATAAAGTGTGCAAATCTACATGTGTGGTTAAATCTAAGCTAAATATCACTTGTTGTTACTTGTATTTCATGTTTAATCTTAATATATCAAAGACAAAGTCAGCACCATGAGTGAAAACTATCTGCAGTACAGTCTCTTATATAGTCAGTGGGCCAATGTGTTTCTACATTGGACGACAGATTACAGCCTAGTAGCGATGTCAGCTGCTGGTGGGCCAAATCAAATGGCTTGGCAGGCCAAATTTGGCCCGCGGGCCCCACTTTGGGCTCCTCTGATGTAAACCTAACCTGAACTCAACTCACACCTTAGTCCTAAACCAGGCATGGGCAATCCTGGTCCTGGAGGGCTGCAGCCCTGCATGTTTTACTTGTTTCTCTGCTCCAACACACCTGATATGAAGGAACGTATGATTATCAGGCTTCTGCAGTACGGA